TCCCCATGTCTGTCAATTCTTGATCCCATTTGGGTCTTTGATTCCCACTTGTTATTGAAAATTCAGTTTTAGAGCTGGAAGGGACCTTAGTGATCGCCTAATCTAATAGCCTCATTTTTGAAGATATATTAAAAGTGCCACCTTCCCTTTTTCCTTTTCTCCTTTCTTTCCCCTTCCTCTTACCCTTTCTGCCCCTTTCCGCCTCCCTCTCTTCTTCCCCATTACCACTCTTCTTCCTCCCTGTTGTTCCTTCCCCTTCCCTCTTCTCTCTTTTTCCTTTCTTCAACCCCTCTCCATCTAATTCAGGTGGCCCCCAGTCCACTGCTTTTTCTACCGCAACATGCTGCTTTTTAGCATAGGTAAATGTTACAGAATATATTTTTAAAAATTTTTTTAGTTCTTACCCAAAGTTTAGGTGTATGGGAGTTGGGGAGGGGAACAGTGATCTTTTAATGTCCCTTTTTAAAAAGAAAACCACCCTCACTTCTTGTTCTGGAAAATGAGGAATGATATGTCTTACTTTACTTCTGAACAGTTTTTTTCTTGAGGTAACATCCCCATCTGCTGGAACTTTAAAGTTTTTTCTTCTAATGGTTCTTAATGGCACATAATTGTACTTTTGTAACTGCTGGCATTAGTAGTGATGAGCATCCTTGGCTTCCAGAACAGCAGAATAATAATATCTACCTTAGCAGGTTGTGTAGGATAGTAGGTTATTACTTTCATTCCTTATTAACATATATTCATAACTGACAAAAATCCATAAATATTCATGCAAATATGTTTGCCCCTTTGTACCTTCAGTGCAAGCCCCTCCTTCCCAAGTTGAAGTCTGTGACTTGAATTTTTAGAAGCAAAAGTGTTTCTTCCATTTAGAGCTTAGCATAAACTTTTAAGATCAGATCTAAGACCTACTTTCTATGTATTGGTTTAGGAATCTTTTATATATGGACGATTTAGAGAGCATCCCTCAAAAGAGACTAAGTTGAAATACAAGTGCAGTAAGTACTACGATTAACAGAAGATTCAAGAAACTTTGTTTCAGGTTAGTAATAATGCTGATGGTTGCCATAATTTTTTGCTATTTTTTTTAGTGGGGGCGGAATTTATCTTAGCTATAACTAAATAATTCCTATCTTTTACCTTCAATTCCCAATGGAATGGTTTTTTAAAAATTACAATTCTTTGTCTTGTTCATTTTCTGTTTGTTTCAATTCTAGTATTAAGTAGTCTAAAGATCAAGGGAATTAATTGGTTCCAAGCTGTTTTTTATTTTATGGGCCTTTGAATGCTCTTATGCCAAAGAGTTTGTGCTCTACCATTTGGCTGCCCGGTATTTGATGAGAATGTCAGTTTTTAAAACAGAATGAACACAGTTTTCATTTCCCTTTAACCTCAGACAAGGTGTAGGCGGGTGCCCTCTCTAAGAGTTCTTCACTTGGCATCTGTGAATGTTTTTAAAAAAAATTTTTGATAATTATATTTCTGAATAATTGGTTTCCTTTGTAATCCCACATATTTTATTTTATGCATTTAAAAATATTATGAGAAGGTATCCACGCATAAAAAAAAGTTTACTGAGTAATAGAACACCTAGCAGGTTAATGGGGGTGGGGTGGGGTGGTATTTGGTATTTGGTAACAGTTGGTGAACATTGCGTCCATAGAACAGTTGTTCTTGTGACAACTGGACTTTGTAGTTGGCCTGTCCAGTCATTCTTGTAGTCATTTCCTCATGAGAGGTACAAGTATCTGTAGTTGGGGAGGCAGTTTCCTCCTCTGCTCTGCAGTTGTAGCCCCCCACTAGAAGCTTATGCACAGGATGTGCTCAGGCAGTTCACTTCCCAAGGGTTTTGCAGGCGCTGCACTAGGCAAGAGCACACCAAAATACCAGGAGCTTACTCTTTGTGGGAAGGGGAGGGGGTCTGGAGAGGGGGTGGCACAAAGGGACATTGTCTAATTGGCAGTCTGGTTCCAGACTTTTGGCTGCTGATTTGTTGGCCTTAGGGTCCTTTTTTAAAAAATGCAAATACCCCTGAGAGGGGTACCATCTTGAACCTTATCTGAAAATACTTTAATTATCAGTTAATAAGGAATACTTAACTAGCTTCAGAGAGAAGAATGTCAAAGGCAGATTTCACCTGTTTTGTGATTTTGCCTGAGGTTGAACTTGCTACACAGAACCATGGCCAGTATAACCTTTGAAAACTATATCATAGGTTGCTGATTCATGTTATAGACTAGTGTCTTTATTATTTGTTTGAGGTGATGTTTCATTGAGTACTTGAAATTATTTTTTTGCTTCCATTCTTCTAGTTATCTCTACTTCTACTTTTTACACTACAGATTCTTGGGTGTCTTGACGCCTTGTTTTCTTTTGCCTGTGGCTAGCCCAGTAGCTGTATTATGATAAGTATTGCTTCAGTTCTAGTAGCCCAGGAGTGCACAGAATGAGCAAGAATAATTCAGACTGAAGTGAGAAGGGGGACAACCTAGAGGAGCCTTGGCAATGGGAGAAGAATGCTTGGGGATGGGGATTGTATCTCATATATATATTTTTAATTTCCACAGCACCTACCATTGTTTTATCATGGAAACTAAGTGAATACTTGTTGAGGGAAGAATGAAAGAGAGGTAGAGAGACAAGGGAGAGAAATATGGGTCCACATATATTACAGGGAACTTATGTTACTAGACAGTAATTTATACAATCTTTTTTTTTTTTTTTTTGGCGAGGCAGTAGGGGTTAAGTGACTTGCCCAGGGTCACACAGCTAGTAAGCGTCAAGTGTCTGAGGCCAGATTTGAGTCCTCCCAACCCCAGGGTCTGTGCTGTATCCACTGTGCCACCTAGCTGTCCTTTAATTAATATAGTCTTGATCGTTTTATTTCCTCCTCTTGAAAATGTAAATTATTCTTTCATGTTGCAGTCTCAGTCTCACTCTTTCTAACAATTGCCAGCTCTTATTTGAATATTAGCTTTTGTCACAGGGGGCTTTGTTTACTAAACATTTCAATCCTTTCTTAAGTTATCAAGTTCCAGACTAAAGAAATTATTTACAGTCCACTTTGCTTTTGCTTCAGCACATTACTCCATTATCAGTATTGGGGAGAATTCTCAGGACATAAAAATTGCATTGCAGTGGGACACTGGTCAAAGAATAGCTTCAGTGACTAGATTGCATATGTCTCAGTTTGCTCTTGTTTTGAGGGGAGGGGGCGAGAGACATGCCTTTTCCCCTTTCTACACCATACCAATCTCAACAAGCTTTCTGTGCACCTATTGTACCTCCAGTGTTCTCTCGCCATAGATATGAGCAATAGTAGATCTTACACAGTATCCCTTTTAAACCAAGGAACTCTAGTCTTTGATCTGCAATAAGAATGTAAATTGTCCATGCTTGTGAGCTACTATATGTAGTATATTTTCTGCATATAAATGGAGTTGTTCGGAGTGAGAAAAGAATAAAGGTCTGACCACCCTTTCAGGGGCATCATTCACTATTTCTGCTAGATACTGTGCCTTATTGAGTGTTACTGTTTATGCCAAATGAAACTGCCGTGACTTGTAGAAAGGTACACTTCGAATTTGACCATTTGCTGAGTACATTTGTGGTTGGTGTCACCGAAATGTTAGCTTGCTTTTACTTCCCCAGTAAGAAGGCAATCTCTTCCCTCTTCTGTGTCCAGGTTAGAGGAAATGGATGCACCAAGTTCAGCCAAATTGAATTCAAGGAAGAGGAGGAGAGAGCCGACTGGACCCAATGGGGCAACAGAAGAAGATGGGATTCTTGTCAAAATACCTCGCTGCTCAGTTGTAAGTAAACAAGGGATTTTCTGGTTTGACATCACTCACCTTGCTGTAGCGTTGATGAGATCAGTGTTGCATATTCTCTTGAATAATGGAAAGATTGCTTGTCCACACAGTTGTTGGAAGGCTTGTTCTGTCTATGCTAGTGTAATATAATCCACAGTTTAGTTGAGCTGCTTTACACTAAAGTTCAGAAGGAATATTGGGAAAGTTTAGAGATATTAGGTAATGGCCAAATAGCGAACTCCAGTAATGAAGTGGGGGAAATGAAGGTTCTAACAACGTATCTAATTTAGGGTTGTCACCATAACCCCATACACCTTTCCAGTGAATTCAGTTCTTGTACCTAAATTCTTCTCTGTTTTGCTGCAAAAAATAAAATTGTAGTTCCAATTTGCTGCTTCTTATCTCCAAAGCCGCCTTTCATTCATACCTGAAGTATGTCTCACATGGGAAACTACACCTGAGACTATTTTCCAAGCTTCCCACTCTACCTCAGCTCTAATATTTCATCAGACCTTTTCCCAGAAAGACAATCAACTCACTTGAAGTTATCAGTACCTTTTATTGTTGTGCAATCAGTAATATGGTAACACTGTTCCAAGAGCACAACAGTGTTTCCCATTTTTCTACATGCATTTTTATTACTTAGAACCAGTCCTTTCAACCTGTAACCATCTACATTGATTTTTGACCCACAGCTGAAAAATCAAGGGTAGTGCTTTGAAGTTAGAAAGTGCTCTAGAAATCTAGCAAATTAATAAACTTATTTAAGTCATTGTTTTCCAAAATGGATGTTTAGAGAGGGAGGGCTCGTTTACAATATAGTTTATAGTATAGATTTTTTGTTGGTGATGACGGTAAAACTGAAAATTATATGAATGGATTTTCCCTCTCTTTTCTCTTCTAGTATTTAATATCTGTTGTAGTTTTAAAGGGAAAAGGAATTCTGGACTCTGTCTTTTTGGTATAAGAGTGATGTTGATGAGGAAAATAACAAACCCTTAGGAAATAGAAAACAGAAGTTCTTGGAATCATGTGATTGTAGATTGAGAACTATAATAGAACTTAGAGTCAATAGAGTCAAACCTCTTCACTTTGCAGAATAGGAAACTGAGGGTAGGAGATATTGAGTGACTTGCTCAGGGTTATACAGCTAGTATATGTCTGAGACGGGATTTGAACTTGGGTTTTCCTAGCCTACCACTCCAGCCACTGTACTACTAAAGGTTCTTAGGTTTAAAAAAAAAAAAAAGAGCTAAGGGTATCAATTGGGGCAGTATTATGCCCATTCTGAACTTGTAGGTCTAAATGAAGTTAATTCTAGTGCTGAAGAAAGACTTTGTGTGGCAGAGCAAAGGTTTTCTTTTAGGTTGTTTGGTTAAAAACTCGCAAACCAAAACATTATTTTTATTTTGTTAAGGTTTTTCACTCATAGCTACAAAGACAATATTGTTATTTCTGTGATTGCATCTCTTCTATGGCATGTTAAAAAAATAATAAAACCTTGTAAACAAATATAGAAATTGTTTATAAGTCCTCATTATCTGAGTTGTAAATTGTTAGTCATTTGAGACGGATGAGTTTATTACTTGGCAAGGCAGCAAAATGTAATAATATGGATATTCTTACTAGTTTGTCTTATATTGAAGACCTACTCTGATGCTTTATTCATGTATGAAAATGACACTGAGTACTTAAAGGCTATACCATTGTAGCACAAGCTAAAAAGGCTTTGACCTGCTGGGTCTTGGGTGCCTTAGTTTGAAATACCTCAGCTAAATTTGAAGGGATTCATCACCAGGAGGTTGACCACTAATGAGTCCCAGAAGGTTGATCACCAATGATAATGAATGTTTCTGACTATAGCAGCTCAAGAAACCATCTTCAGAAGTTGGAGGGGTTATGATCATCTTAGTCTTTGGAGAGGAGTGTCTACACTAATTAATCTTTTGAAGTATTGAAGTGTAAGTTAGTAATAATATAATGTTTGGAGTCATTGTGGGCTCCATTGCTACCTATTTTTCTTTACCTGTCTCATTTCCTTCCAGGTTTATTTATATAACTCATATGACTATCTCCTTGTGCTTTGGAAAAAAATTAAAACCCTCAACCTCTTGTCGTGGGGTAATCTCCACTGGGTAGTACTAAAGGGAAGGTAATCTATATCTTCTGGGGCAAATGGATGAATATTTTTCCTTCCACATATCTCCAACAGACCATATAATCCAAGATCAACCACTTTCTCCCTTCTACTTTCCCAGCTGCCAGTGCACATCAAAATTAGGTTACTGCTGTAGGATCCAAACTTCTTTTCCAATGAAATGGAGTGTTATGCAGTGGTATTTCTTGTTCCCGAACAAGCAAGTACTCTTTCCATATCCAGGAAGTCACGTATTCTGCCTCTTTATCTTAACTAGCAAAGGTTGTCAGTCCGACCCAGCCCAATGTGGTTCTCCTTTAAAATGGAGGTTCTTAACTTGGGGTCTGTGAACTTGTTTTTTTAAAAAGATTTTGGCAACCATTTCAGTGTAATTGGCTTCCTTGTAATCTTATATATTTTATCTTATGCATTTAAAACATTCTGAGGCGTCCATAGGCTTCACCATACTGCTAAAGGGAAACATCACACACAAAAACCCTGCTTTAGACCATAAGCAGCATTGGCTGTTGAGATTTGATCCTGAAGAGAAATGACTAGAAACTTTTGAATCTAGAGAGACATTGAACAAATAAAAGGATATGCCAATGAAGTATTGATTTTTCATCTTATTCTACTATTAGGATTGTGAAGTCTTTCCAGGTTTTTCAGAAGTCTGCCTGCTCACCATTTCTTGCTTTCTTTTTTTGCTTTTTTTTTGGTGAGGCAGTCAGGGTTAAAGGACTTGCCCAGGGTCACACAGCTAGTAAGTGTCAAGTGTCTGAGGTTGGATTTGAACTTGGGTCCTCCTGACTCTAAGGCCGGTGCTCTATCCACTGCGTCTCCTAACTGCCCCTCTGCTCATCATTTCTTATAGCACAATAGTATTCCTTTACATTTGTATACCACAACTTATTTGGCCATTCCCCAATTGGTGAGCATCCCCTTCAGTTTCCAATTCTTGGCCACCACAAAAAGAGCTGCTATAAATATTTTTGTACGTGAGTCTTTTTGTTTGTGATTTCACTTCCCATTTTTATGATCTCTTTGGGATACAGCCCTAGAAGTGGTATTGCCAGGTCAAAGGGTATACACAGTTTTATAGCCTTTGGGCATAGTTCCAGATTGCTCTCCAGAATGGTTGTATTAATTCACAGCTCCACCAACAATGCATTCGTGTTCCAGTTTCCCCACATCTTCTCCAACATTTATCATTTTCCTGTTTTTGTCATGTTAGCCAATCTGATAGGTGTGATGTGGTATGTGAGGTGTTTTGTGCGTTTTATAGATCTCAGAATCTTACAATTGGAAGGGACCTCAGAGGTGTTCTCATCAAACCTGCATGAGAACAAGAATATTCCTCTAAAATACACCTGAATGATGGTCATCCAGCCCTGCTTGAAAATCTGCTGTGAAGGGCAACTCACTACCTCTAGGGCAGCCCATTTCACATGCAGATATTTAGTTATTTGTTAGTTTTTCCTTGTTGGCCTAAATTGACTTCTTTTCCACATCTGCCTGTTGTTCCTCGATCTGCCCTTCAGGGTCAAGCAAAACAAATCTTAATTTCTCTTTCATGTTACAGTTCTTGGACTACTGGAAAAAGGCTCTTTTGATTGTTGAAGACAATTGACAGCCTTTTTCTCCCTCCTGATCGTCTCTCTAAGCTAAACAACTCTGGTTTCTTTAACTTGTTCTCATGATACAGTCTTGAGGCTCTTCACCATCCTGGTTTCCCTTCAGTGGCCTCACCAGCTTAGCAATGCCCTTCCCAGGCTAAATAAGGCAGATTAGATAGACGGCAATTCCTATGAAAAAGGAGTCATCCTTTTGATATGGCAGCCAAAAAATTGATCTGATTTTTGGCTACATTAAGAGAAACATAATGTCCAGTCATGAACATGAGGACATTCTGGACACGAATGTTGAGAATGAGGTAACTAGCTAAAGCCTTGCTGTTAAATTAAATTTTCCTTTGGGGACTCTTGCACAGTGGACCTATGAAGGATAACTTTTTTTAACTTTAGGACTTGTCAGGAATAGGCTAGTTGATCATCAAAGTCATGGAGAAAAGTAAATAGCTTGTTGCAAAGTAGCTCCCAGAGACTGAGTTCTCAGAAGGATGACATACATGTAGGTTGTGAGCCTGGGTGACTGGGAGGATGATGGTGACCTCAGGAAGGACTTACATAGAAAGATAATGAGTTCAAGATGTGTAGAGGACATCTGGTTTGAGATGTCCAATAACCGGTGCAAGACTGGAGATCAGCCAAGAGCTTAGAGTTGGATAAAGTGCATTTGAGAATCATCAGCATAGAGATGATAATTGATTTCAGAAGAGCCTATAAAATCAAGTGAAATAGTATAGAGGGAGAAGAGAAGAGGGTGCAGGACAGAGCCCCAGGTTATACGCACAGTTGCACATGTGACCTGGATGAAGATCCAACAAAAGAGTCTGAGAAGGAGCAATTAGATAGGTAGAAGGAGAACCAAGAGAGGGTAGTATCCCAAAAACCTAGAAAGAAGAGAATCTCAAGGAGAAGAGGGCGATGAGCAGTGTCAAATGCTGCAGGCGGTTACAGAAGGATGAGGACTGAGAAACAGCCTGTTAGATTTGGCAATTAAGAGATCATTAGTAACTTTGGAGAGAGAAGTTTTTGTTGAATAATGAGATTGGACTGCAAAGTGAAGAAGAGAGTGAGAGGAAAGGAAGTGGAGATACTTATAGAGATGATCTTTTCAAGGAGTTTAGCCACAACAGCGAAATGACAGATGGGATGATAGGTAGCAGGGATGGTTGGATCAACTGAGAATTTCTTGAAGATGGGGAAGAAATGGGTATATTTGTAGGTAGTAGAGAAGTGTCCAGTAGACAAGGAGATAATGCTGGAGATAAGTGAGAGAAGAGGTAATCTGCTAGGGAAGATAGGATGCATTGGATTCCCTTGTATATGTACAGAGTTATACTGTGGCAAAGAGAAAAGCTACCTATTAGTAAGAGGCTTCTGGGTCATGTGAGATGAAGAGGAAGCTCCTAGCAAATGACCTCAGTTTTTCTGGTGAAATATGAAGCAAGGTTCTCAACAGAGAGGGTTGGAGGAGAGGAGCTATAGGAGGTTTGAGGAAGAATGATTTTGGGAAAGCCGATGTGGTTAAGTAGGATGAGTCAATATGACATTTACACCTTAGCCACATAACAGCAAAGCTATACTGTGAACCTCTTGTCACATAATTTATCACTACCTTTGAGATTGCCTACCAGAAACTCTTTACCTTTTATTTTTCTAGGTGTCAGAACATTGCTACAGAAAATCATAGAACCATGTTATGTTGACCTGGCACACAGTAGATCAAACTAAATAGTTTCATCTAGGTCATTAGTTCTTGACAGTCTCATTATTCATCTGTTGCTTCCCTGACAAATGTCCCACAACAACCATTTTCCCATCTCAGATACCCAACCCTTGGTCATAACCTTCACTCATTCTTGACAGATGATTTTGCCTCTTAATTTAACTGAGAAAATTGAGGCCAGTAATCATGAACTCTCCCTTATCTTATTCTGGCTACATCTAACCTATTTCTTTATCTCTTTTCCTGTTCTTTTTCTTTCCTGCAGGCTCAGAGAAATAAGTCATCTTTATTTTAAATTAATTAATTAAAATTCTTTTCTTTTGTTATCACTCTCATTTTTAGATGTGCCTGTTCATCTCCCATCCCCAGGATTTGAACCTTTTCTTTTGACAAAAACAGGCAAAAATTTGGCATTGATTGTTCTTGGTTGCTTCCAGGTCCTTTTTTATTGTGGGTTACCGACCAGGTTGGGGATTTTTCATTATAACAGGGGTTGAAGAGCCTTTAATGCTTATAGCCTCAAGCCTCAGCCCTGCAGACTACAGGAGTCTCTAGCCTACCCCTGGTCCAGCTGGGAGGCCGCCAGCTTGTTTGCCTGTACTAGCTTTGCTGGTAGTCCCCAGTCCTTTTGCCCCTGAGCTTCTCACTGACTTCCTGTGCAGTTCTGGGGTGGAAGGAGTAATTTACTATAGCTTTTCATTGGATTTCTTGATCATTATTTGGTCTGGTACAAATTTCAGGTTTTTTTGCTAGAGTAGGTATGTGGGAACTGGTCGTTTTGTCTCTATTCTGGCCTCCATCTTTGCTGGAAGTTATATTTATCATATCCTACTTCCAGTAACATTCCACTACATTAATATACTGCTACTATTTAGCCGTTTTCCAGTCACTTGGCATTCACTTAGTTTTTAGTTCTCTTTATCACGGAATCATGCTTCTATGAATGTTAAGGCAAATATAAAACTTTTTGTTCTTCTATCTTCCTTGGTGTTTATGCTTGAATAGTGGAATCACTGGGTTAAAGAGTATGTATGAATAGTTTAATAATTTTTCATACATAATTCTAGATTGTTTTCCAGTATGGATTGGACCAATTCATAGTTCCATGAACAACATACCCATCTTCTTCCTGTCCCTCCAACATTGACTATTTCTGTCATCTTTGCCAATTTGCTGGGTGTGAAGTGAAATTCAGAGTTGTTTTAATTTACAATTCTTTTGTTGTTAGTTATTGGAAATGTGTTTTCATAAGGTCGTTTATAATTTGCGATTTTTCTATAGCAAATAATTTATATCTTTTTGACCTATCTATTGGAGCATTAATGACTTTTGGTCTTATCTGTTTGTGCTAATTCCTTATTTTCTTGCTAACTACAAACGTGTCTAGATTTTCTCATACTTTCACAAGCCTTCACTAGCCTATTACTCCCCCAATTTATCATATTGTGTTATTGCTTTCAACAGTCAGATTGCTTTAAAAAGATACCTTATTGTCTATTTTCTCCTCTTCTACATCTCAATTCTTTGAAGTCTAGTTTAAATCCCAGTGTAATGCAATCTTGTCTGGATCTGGAGTCAGAGGACTCGGATTCAAGTTCTGGCTTTGACACTAACTGTATATGTGTCTGGGCAAGTCATTTTACTTCTTTGGGTCTCAGTTTCCTCATCTGTAAAATGAGGACAGTGAACTAGATAAACTCTGAAGTCCCTTTCAATTCTAAATCTATTATCCTATTATCATTTGATTGAAACTTCTCTTTTCAAGGTCACCATTAATTCTTTATTGCTAACTCCAATGACATTTTCTTAGTCTTCATCCTTCTTGATCTCTCTGCAGTGTTTTGCATTGTTGACCATTCCCCTTTTACACCCCACCCCATTCCCCTGCATACTCCCCCTGGTGCTTTTTTGCCACTTTCCTCTCCCTCGCCCCCCCATACTCTTTCCTTTCTGACAGTACTCTGTTTTGGTGTTCTCTTTCTTCCAGTCTGACCATTCTTTCTTTGACCCCTTTTCAGGATCATCATCCATGTCCTGCCCACTATGTATAGATGTACATGTTCTATGTCCTGGACCCTCCTCTCTTCTCTCTTTATACTGTTTTGTAAAGCTCATCAGTTTCCATTGGTTCAGTATCATCTCTTTGTAAATGACTCCCAAATCTACTTATCTAGTCCATCTCCCCATTTCCCGACCTACATTACCAAAATGACTGCAGAATATCTCCACCTGAATTTCCCACAAGTATCTCAAACCCAACATGTCTAAAACAGAATTCATTATCTTTCCCCATAAACCCACCCCACCTCTTCTCTCAGATTGCTGATTTCTGACAAGGACATTGCAATCCCTCCAGTAACTCAGGTTCACAGTCTTAGTCATCTTCAACTCTTTGGCTCCTCCCTTCTCCACAATTTAATCATTTGCCAGATCTTGTCATTTGTATGTCCACACTGGACCACTGCTCTAGTTGGGGTTTTCATTATCTCTTGTCTCAATTTAATCGTTCTTTTAATCTCTTCCCTCTCCCATGGCTACCAGATTGCTATTTCTAAAGCACAGATCATTCTTCATGACTGCATTACTCCCTTGCTCAAAAAGCCTCATTGGTTCCATATTCTCCCAAGGGAAAAACACAGAGTCCTCTTTTTGAAATTTAAAGCCTTTCAAAATCTGTTGTCAACCTATCTTTCCAAGCTGATTATACATTACCATCACCACCACCTCCCTGCTCAACTATATGTAGGTAAACTTGATCTACTTGATGTTTCCTGTACAGGACATTCCATCTCCCACTTCCACATCTTTGCATAGGCTGTTCCTTATGCCTGAAATGCTCTCCTTCCTCCCTTCCACTTCTAGGAATTCTCTGGTCATTTTCAGGTTCAGCTCAAGTGTTACTTCATACAAGAGGACTTCTCCCTCCCTTCTCTTAATTAATTACATTTGTATATATTTTATATTTAAAGTTCTGAATGCATATTGTGTTTCCCTAGTAGGATATAAATTCTTTGAGGTCAGGGACTGTTTCATTTTGTCTCTGTATCCTTAGTGCCTAGTGCTATGCCTGGTACATAGCAGATATTGAATTCCTTTTATGTCTTGTTATCAAGTAAATGTTTATCAATGATGGATGATATAAAGATCCTTTACTTTGAATAATTTCTTTTCTATCTGCTGTGATTTGTTTGTACAAAGTATTTTTAATTTTGTGTAACCTAACTCATCTGTTTTTAGTTTTGTGATTGGCTTCCTCTTCCTTTGTTTGACTAAGAATTCTTTCCTCCAATTTTGTATGACATTAAACATTTATATTAAAGTCATGTATGTATTTGGAGCTTATTGTGGTATAGGGTATAAGGTTCTGGTCTAAATCTAATTGTTGTCTGACAAATTACAAAACTCATTTACGTTGAAAACCATTAAAAAGCATAGATGTAGAAAGATTCTTCTTTAATATGATTAAAAGCTTTTATCCAAAACCAGATTGAGCTTTATTTTTGGTGGAGAAATACCAAAAAGTTTCTCAGTACGAATAATTATCAAAACGGTTTGATAATGGTTTAAAAATTGAAAAAAATAGATCAGGGAATAGACTGTATAAACAAGAAACCAAAGCAATAAGAAACAAATTCATGTTTTAGAAACCCAAGACCATAAATAAGTGGGGGAAACCTTTACCTGGATAAGAACCACTTCCCTCAGCCAAGTGTTGCAAAGAAATTAAATTACATCTTAAGATGTCAGGATATTTAATTTAATTGTTGTTTTTTAAAATTTGCCCTTCCTCTAGTAATTTGGTTATCATCCATTTTCTTTGATGAAAGCTAACTGAGTTTCTTCTCTTTTACTTTTCTTAAAGGGCTTAAAGGAGCCAGCCCCATTTTCAGATGAAATTGAAATTGACTACAGTAAGCCCTATATCAGAGTAACTATGGACGAAGCCAGGAGAGGGACTCCTTGTAAGTAAATTTCATATTAAGTGTGCTTCCTTATTCTTGTTCATTTTTCTGCATCTCATGGTATTTACAGCACATTCATCTGCATGATGTAAACGAGCATAATAGTTACTGCCCTGAAGTTTATGTCTCATGTTGGAGTAGGTTTTCCTGTCATCTGTCCTGCCACTATTTAGAAGGGCCCATTCCACTCTCTGAGCTTCCATTCACTTGCCTTTCTTTTTCCGTTGTACTTTTCTCACCACATTGTTGTTGTTGGCTAAGGCAGAAAAGGTTATATACTGAAATGGGTAGCAGTGCACCAATCTGAAGAAATGTTTATTAGCCCACAAATTCATCCCCATTGCTCTCAATGACATTATTTTTATCTCTATAACCTAGGCTCAGAATTTGTTAGCTAACTTCTCTACCACCAAAATTCAGTTAGTTGCTAACTACTTTTGATTCCACTTCTGTAGCTTCTCACATATGTCTCCTCTCCATTCCTATTATCACCACCTGTGGCTTAGCCCTCATTGTCTCATTCTGAGCAATTGCAATATTTTGCTTACCGGTCTCCCTGCCCCCAGTCTTGCTCCCCTCCAATCCCTTATACCACTATCAGTTTCATCTTATTTATACAGATGTTTAATCATCTCAGATGATTCCTCCAAACTCTTTGGTGGCTGTATTACATACTGATTGAAGTCCAGAAACCTGGCATGTGGCCCAACCTTCATCCTCACTCTTATAATTTTTTCCTTGTTTTATACTCTACTTAGTCTGTGAAGGAATCAGTCCTAAACTTCAGGCATCAGTGAAACAAGCATTTCTTCTGCCTGGAACCAATCTCTTCAACCCAGGGATTTCTTCTTTATTGTTTTCTAAACTTTCCTTATTATCAAACTTCATCTTGAGCCATTGTGCCTCTGGTCCCTGTGTACCCTAAGGATCCTTCTAATCCATGGAGAAGGAAAGAGGGTGGGGGTGAAAAGAGAGCTGTTAATTCAGTCCTTAATTACTTTTTTTTTTATCCTTAATTACTTCTTATTTTTCTGCTGCTGCCACTGTATTTTCATGTCACATTCTGGCACCGACTTTCCCCATTTTGCCTTTTGCCCTGGCTGTTACACATTTAAGATGAGAAGAATGTTTTTTTCTCTAGAATTTATTTACAAGGAAAAAGAATGTGAAAATTCAGGAACAATATACCTATGTAATTTACGTCCACCAAGTTACCAGGTCCAGTCAATTCTATCTCAGAAATATTTTCTATATCAGTCTGCTCTTCTTAATCTTCACTACTATAACCATGATATTAGTAGAGATACAGGGTAGGTGCATTCTCAGATATAATATATCTGGGTAAGGTTATTGAAAGTACAAATAAAATGAATGTAGTTCTAGGCTGGGTGATTCTAAATTTCCTAAGTTATATTATTTAGCTATAGTTACATTATTATTTATTATATTATTATTTAGTTATATTATTAGTTCCTTAGGACTGGCTTGGTCTGTCGTGGGTTTACATATGGAGTATTTGATTCTTCATGTCCTTGAGATGACAATAGGAGAAGTGCATCTCCTCCTAGAGAACTGACTTTGGAGCTTACTTAGTGGTACATGATTAATGGAACCCTTCCAACCCTTGTACAACTTATGGCTCACTTGAAACCAATCAGGAAGCCTCTTGATGGCAAAGCAGGACCTTGGTCCACATTACTAAAGTGACTTAACTGATCAGATATTTTCCTCCCCTTCTATTAAAGGGAAGACAGAAAAATATGAAATAGATGCAGTGTTCCCAGCACCTTAAAAATCTACCCAGTCCAACACAAAAGTCCCCGAAGTTCACAAAGACATATCTACTTTCTTTACAAGGCCAAATGGTGTTGAGCACTGTGCCCTGAACATGTTCTGTATTTTTCTGCTTCTTTGGAGGATATAGCATTTCAGTTGGGTTCTAAAAAAGAGGAATTCAGGGAGTAAAAAGAGAGTAGGGAGGGAGGAGGACATTTCAAGAATCTTATCTGGAGGACTTGGCTTATGCTGGGCCGTGAATTCTCAGCAAATTAGTTTGAAGTTTCAGTAGGCTGTAGTGAACTACTAAAAATGTTTTATTCAGAAGGGTAATTGACCACATCTGTGCATAATAAAGATTTTCCCAGCATCAGTGTAAAAGACCAATTAGAATATAAGAAAACCTGAAAGGAGGTTGTTGTGTCAGTCTGTAAAGACTGGGGAGACAAGTACAAGAACTCACTTCCTTTAAGGAAGGTCTGTTCCATTGGGGAGGTGACATGGTACACTTATAAATATATACAAAGTAAAGTTCATGCAGGTGATCATGAGGGCTTGCGCCAGAAAGGAGACATCCAAAATAGGGAGGAGTGAGGGAACTGACTAGAGAGATATTACAGAGCTGGAATGATAGGAGAGGAGATAGCGATGGAAGCATCCAAGACAAACTGGAAATTACAAATACAGAAAAGCTGATGAATCATGGTCAGACAGCTGCAGTGAAGTCAAAGAAGGAGCAGGTTGAGGGACAATGGTAATAAACCCAGTTTTGGACATGTTCCAGGAGGAGGTGTGGATTTGGAGCTCAAAGGGCCAGACCTGGGAATCATCTACATGAGAGATGTCTGTTGAAGAGATGAGAGTGAATGAGATTGCCAAAGAAGAGACCACTGAGAAGGAAGAGAAGAGGGTCCAGGACAGACCCTTGAGAAATATTTCTACTAAAGGGCTGAAAACAAAATGGAGAATCAACAGAGACAGGGAAGAAGTAGAGGCGAAGGAGAAAAATTGAGAGTGTGGTTGGTGTTGAAACCTCAGGAGGTGAGAGTATTAAGGAGAGGTGGTCAGTAGTGTCAGAGTTGCAAAGAGACAATAGGGTAAAGATTGATAAAAGGTCACTGGATTTGGTTATTTGGTCATTACTGATATTAGAGAACATTAGAATGGTGGGAATTTGGTTAAAAGGGGTAAGATGAAAATAGCTGGACAGAATAGAAGAGTCAGGGGACAGCTTATTTATTAGGTTTGGGTAAACCTAAGTGTGTTTTAGATAAGTAGAACAGAGCAAGAGAAGACTGAAGATGCATAAAACAGGAGCTGATTGCTGGATCAGAATCAGGAGTGTAGGAGGCGGGGTATGGGGGTATTGGTTAGGGGGAGTAGACTTGGTGAATAGTAGAAATGATTCTTCTGGGACACGAAGGAAGGAGGAGAGAATAATGATTCTGAGAAGGTGGGAGAAATGAAAAGGAAGAACTGGATTAAATTGTTGGATGTCCTCAGTCTTCTCAGTGAAGTTTGAGGCGAAGCCATATCCCCGAAGTGTTGTGAACTGTGATGTGTTTATTATTAAGAAGGAATTAGAATAGTCCGGAAATATTGCTATGAGGAAATGAGATGAGTCCGTAAGGGTAGTCAGTAAGGATGAAGTAGAATTGTCAAGAAGTGTCAAGTGCCCCAGCAGAAAGGAAATAGGAAAACAGGGATGTATCAATGGCAGTTGTCATACACAATAAGGGTAAAGAGTAGGTTTATTTTAAGACAGAAGGAGGGAGGCAGGGAGAGAAAGGAAGTGGTGGTGGTTAAGAGTGTAATTTTAAAATTCTGGATCTTGGAGTTGGTATAATTTTTAAAAAATAATATTTTTGAGGCAGCTAGATGGTGCAGTGGATAAGAGCGCTGGCCCTGGATTCAGGAAGATCTGAGTTCAAATGTGGCTTCAGACACTTGACACTTAACTAGCTATGTGACCCTGGGCAAGTCACTTCACCTGATTGCCTCATGCAAAATAATAATAATAACAATTTTTTTCCCCAATTACATGTAAAAAACAATTTTTGACATTTTTTTTAAAGTTTTGAGTTTCATATTCTATACTTCCCTCCTTCCATTCCTCTCACCTCATCTCTCTGAGGTAGTAAGTAGTTTGATACAGATTATACATGTGCAATCCTGTAAAACATACTTCCATGTTAGTCATTTTGTGGAAGAAAACTTGAACCAGAAAAAAAAAATGAAGGAACAAAAGTGAAAAATAATGTATTTCAGCCTGTATTCAAGATATCACCAGTTCTTTCTCTGGAGGTGGATAGCATTTTTCACCATGAGTCCTTTGGGATTGTCTTGGCTCATCAGATTGCTGAGAATAGTTAAGTGAATTGATATAATTCCAAAGGATTATTAGGTCTAAGATGTGATCAGAGTCAGGGTGTATATTCAAATATCCAAATGTATTTAACACTCCTCATTTAGAAGGAGCTTACATTTTAACTGGGGAAATAACAAGGATATAAATTAGTAAATACAGAACATATATATATATAGAAAATAAATCCAAAGGACCTAAAAATAAGGGGCAGCCAGATGGTGCAGTGGTCCTGTAAGTTTGTCTTAGGGGTCCCACCAAATGTGCTGGAAGCTTTCTTTGATTTCTCCTGTCATAAAAGGGTACCCAGTGAATTGCTCTGGCTGTCCACTTGTCATCCCTTTCCCTCACCCACATTGCCAGGGTATCTTTACCAGTTTTCCTATCATACATTTCCTCGAAGATAACATTTCCTGTCCTTTGGAGCACTTCATTAGTTATATGTCACAGCCTATTCATACTCACCAAATGCCTCTCCATTGTCTTCTGTATGTTAGAAAAACTGTGGTGGTCCAACTGTCTTTGATGGAGAAAATGGTTTGTTATAATACTTTTTACAAATCTTTTCCTTTTTTCTTCCTTTTGTTGTCTTCACACTTTCTTCCTTAAATGTCTGTGAGATGACTTGGCTTGCCAAGCTTTCTTTAAACCAGTTTTACTTACCACTTTATCTCTGCTTTATGAGACAGTACTGATTGTAATTATCTTATGCTTCTCTGACTTCATAGTCATCATTTCTTCTAGCACATTATATTATCTAGCACAGAATTTATTATATTCATGTAACACAGTTTGCTTTGTTTCCAGTTCTTTGCTACCCTAAAAAGTGCTGCTATGAATATTTTTGCATATATGAGAC